TTTACTAAATAGCTTCTGGCACAGTTGACTGTTCTCCATAGCCTTTAATGCTTTCTTTACATTCTCTACATCAGAACGCTCTCCTGGCTTCTCTCCTATGCCATCAGTTACTTATTTTATCAGCTTTTCTGGTTCTGCCTCATCTCCTCAAACTCTAATGGGTATATGCCCCAAGGCAAATATCTTTAACTGCTTCTCTTTCCATCTCTTCAGTTATTTGGTGATTTTGTCAGGTCTTTGGGTTGCAAGTTAACATCCATATGCTGTGTGTGTCTAACCTACTCCTATCTCTTGCACACCAACTTATAATCCTAACATCAAACTTGGATGTCTAGTAGATATCTCAAACTTATGTTGAAAATCAGCCAACCTCTTAAACCAGCTTGTTCTACCAACTTTCCTATGCAAATAAATGATAATTTCATTCTGCTAGTTTCTTGGTAAAAAAAGATGACATCAACTTTAAAAATCCACTTCTCTCTTATGCTATAATCAGCACATTCTATTAGTTCTACTTTCAATATAAATGTGAAATCTGACCACTTCCCCCCATCTCCATTGTCGTCCAAATACTCTTCATCTATTTTCAAGATTATTGCAGTAGCCTCCTGACTAATCTTTCCATGCTTTCAACATTTTTTTTCTCCATTCAGCCTACTCCAAACTCACCAATATAATTATTTAAATAAAACAAAAACAAAAAACAAAAAAACACTGCATGTAAACATCCCAATGGATTTCCACATGACTTAGAGTAAAGCAATGCCACATTAGCATTCTTGCTATTATTTGAGAAGATGTCAGCTTTATTCCTGCCTCAGGACCTTTGTTAATCACTCTTTGCCTGAGATATCCTCATAAATGACTCCCTTAAGTACTTCTCATATTTTAACTTCTGACTTTCTCAGTGAGGATTTCTTTGACAATTGTATCTAAAACTTCTTCCAATTTTATAACCACTTATATCCCTTCCTTGCTTTATTTTTATCGAGAGTACCTATTTGTGTGTGAATTGATTTAATATGGCTTTTCATTCCAATGTCTTCTTAATTGCCACCAAGAGATCAGGTGGGGCCTTGCAAATAAGGTATACAAGACTCCAAGGCTGGGATTGGTTAGTTTTGCCATCCAGTTAGGTTTAAAAGGAGCCATCTCAGAAGCAGGGACAGAAGATCCCAGGACTATCAAGAAGAAACAGCATGGAGTGTGAGATCCCTACCTAGTAGAGTGGTGACACCAGGGGTGACATCAGAGGCAGTGGCATGCAGATATAGACAAGCTCTGGGATCTAGTCCCATGGACTGAGTTAAAAACTGAGTACTTATAGGCAAGAGAATGGCTTACAGAATGTGCCCTTTGGGCATTAACGGACTGTCTAAAAGAGTTTTGTAACATTTGTTGTATCAGGATGGAGGCCAAGGGGCCACATGACTGATAAGCCAAAGACAAGACTGAGATATATCTGCAATATAGCAGACAAGAGACATTCCTGTTTGGAAAATTGCTGCATTCCAAGTTGGTTTTGATCCTTGATTGTAAGCTGTTCACTTCCCTAATAAACCCCATAATCATGAGTATTGTTATGAGTTCTGTGCGGCCATTGCCATGGATTGCGGAACCCAGATGTGAAGCAGCGACTGCTGTGGGAGGAATGTTTGGTGTTAGAATAGGATAAAGAAAGTTGTAGGGTGGAGGTATGTCTGACCACCCCTTCATAGGAACTGGACTTGGGCTGAAAGGAATCGGCTTTGAGCTAATTGTGAGTTTCTCTTTTCCCCTGTGAAGTCAGAAGAAGTTAGAGATGACCCCCATATGGCTTTTGCACTATGATAACATGTAACTAACTTGTGAGTTTATTTTCTGTCTGCACCCTCCCAAATACAGGCACCTCATAGAAGCCAGTCCCTGTGCATATTTACCCATATGTGCTTCAGCAACATTGAGGCTACATATCAATAGTTTCTTTGTTTAGAAAATAAGTGGTTTCTCTTCTTTGCACATTTAATTTATAATTTAGCATGTTGTTAAGTGCCGTCAAGTTGGTTCCGAACCATAGTGACGCTGTATAGGGTTTCTGATTAGTGACTGGTGAGTTTGAACTGCCAGTCTTGTGGTTCAAACTGACCTTGTGGTCGAGTGCTTATCCTACAGCACCACACCAGGAAGCATAGTTTAGTATAAACTATATAATACAGAATATACTTTTCCATAATTGAATGTGGTATTTCCTTTGCCTTAGTAAGAATCTGTTACAATAAAGCTGTAGAAGTTTTGTTATTAATTAGAGATTGACTCACAAATACTATGATCCTGATATACATGGATACAAATGGAAGTTAGGAATCTCATGATCTAGAATCTTGCCTTGGCATTACTACTAACAATTGGTTTTGTGAACAATGGCAATCTATCTAAACAGTGGAACTCAAATGTCTCATCTGTAAAATAAAGGGGTAGGATTAAATTTTTCCTTCGTTTACATTTTATTTTGAAGTAATTTTTAATCTTTTGCATCTTCAACCATTAATATACAACAAAATTTTTAAAGTGCTATTTCAGGATGCCTTACTTAACTATTTAAAATAATGCCATATTGTCTAAAAAATAGCAAACTACATTAGTTTTGCAAATGAAGTTATTGTTTTTTAATGCTATATTATGTTATTGGAGTCCTGGGTTAATGTAATGGATTGCAAGGTCGGTTTGACCTGCAAGGTTGTTGGTTAAAGCTCACCAGCTGCTCCTTGGAAACCCTATGTAGGGTCACTATGAATCAGAACAGACTCAACAGCACCTAATAACATGTCGAGTCAGTACTGACTCATAGTGACCCTATGCACAACAGAACAAAACACTGCCCAGTCCTGGGCCAACCTCACAATTGTTGCTACATTTGAGGTCATTGCTGCTGCCACTGTACCAATCCAACTTGATGGGAATCTTCTTTTTCTCTGACTCTCCACTTTACCAAACATGATATCCTTCTCTAGTGATTGATCCCTCCTAACAATGTCCTAAGTATGAGAGACATATGTGGCTATCCTGGCCTCCAAGGAGCACTATGACTGCATTTCTGACAACACTGATCTTTTTGTTCCTTTGGCAGTCCATGGCACTTTCCATAATCTCCTCCAACATCATTAACTCAAATGTATCAATTCTTCTATGGTCTACCTTATTCACTGTGCAACTTTCGCATGCATAGGAAGTTATTGAAAATACTATGGCTTGGGTCAGGTGCACCTTAGTCCTTAGAATGACATCGTTGCTCTTCAACACTTTAAAGAGGTCTTGTGTAACAGATTTTCCCAATACAATATGTCTTTTGATTTCTTTTTGACTGCTGCTCCCATGAGTGTTGGTAGACCAGAGCAAAATGAAGCCTTTGACAACTTAAATCTTTGCTCCATTGATACGTATGTTGTTTATTGGTCCAGTGGTGAATATTTTTGTTTTCTTTACACTGAGATGCAACCCATGTATAAGACTGTGGTCTTTGATCTTCATCCGTATTTTAAGTTCTCTTCACTTTCAGCAAGCAAGGTTGTACCATTTTCATATCTTAGGTTCTTAATGAGTCTTTCTTTAATCCTGATGCCATGTTTTTCTTCATATAATCCGGTTTCTCAGATTATTTGTTCAGCATACAGATTGAATAAGTATGGTGAAAGAGTTCAAACTCGGTGCCCACCTTTTCTAATTTTAAACCATTCTGTGTTCAATTGTTCTGTTTAAACAACTGCCTCTTGGTCCAGGTACAGATTCCTCATGAGCACAATTAAGTGTTCAGGAATACTCATACTTCGCAATATTGTCCATAGCTTGTCATGGACACACTCAAAAGCATTCATGTAGTTAATAAAGCACACATAAACATCTTTCTGGTATTCTCTGCTTTCAGCCAAGACCCATCGGACATCAGCAATGATATCCCTCATTTCATGTCCTCTTCTGAGTCCAGCTTGAATGTTTGGAAGTTCTCTGTCAGTGTGTGGTTGCAACTGTTTTTGCATTGTGTTTAATAAAACTTTACTGAAGCATTACATTAGTAATACTAATGCTCTATGTTGTTGTTGTTAAATGCTGTTGAGTCGATTCCGACTCACAGTGACCCTGTACAGGCTGTAAATGTTTACAGGAGCAGAAAGCATCATCTTTCTCCCCCGAAACAGTTGGTAGTTTCAAGCTGCTGAACTTGAGATTAGCAGCCCGATTCATAACCACTACGCTACCAGAGCTCCTTAATGCTCTATAGGTCAACCTAAATATTCAGATAACACAGATGCAAAATCAACATTGCTCTTTTAAAGCACCTTTACATTCAATATAGGTCTACAATTCTTGTGAGTAGGTACACTATAAAAGTTGGAATATGGGTGATTTTATAAATGTGATACATTTCTGGTAAGGTGCTGCAGGTTAATGTGCTGGACTGCAAGATTAGTTTGAACTGCCAGGTTGGCAGTTCAAGCTCACCACCTGCTCCTCTAAAACTCTATACAGGGTGACTATAAATTGGAACTGACTTGGTGGCACTTAACAACAACAAAGTCCATATGTATTACTTAACACCATTAATACATTTGCAATCAAATGTATTAATGATTCTCTAATGCAATACATAATCATATTAAAGTGAGATGTGTTGTTGTTAAGTGTCATTGAGTCGGTTCCAACTCATAGCAACCCTGTACAGAGTTTCTGAGGAGCAGCTAGTAGGTTAGAACTGACAACCTTGTGGTTCTCAGTCCAGTGCTGATCCTACAGCACCACACCAGGAGTCCTAAATAAGATATACAACCTTCTACATAGTTCATGCCAGATTTTGCCACAAAATGATTCATAGCACACTAAATTTAGGCACCAAATGAGTCACAAAAACTTTCAGTTTTCAATTCATTATGAATTTTGGGATTGGTGATAAGGGATTTGAGGATATGTCTTAAGTATCAGTGGTGAAAAGAACTGCTGTTTTGAAAACATAATTGAAAATTCTTCACCTCCTCCACAGGTGGCATCACAATCTTCCCAACCTGTATGTGTCCACATGAATAGGGGCTCAGGTACTTTAGAGCTCTGGTTCTCTGGAAGAGGATCTGATGGGATAATGTATTCATAGTGAAGGCCATAATTCTGATCTTGAAATAGCAGCACCTACAAGACATAAAAATGAGCCAAGGAAGATGAGTCAAAATAGAGTATGTTCAATCTGAATGACAACACTAATGAATTATATGGCAACCATACTCCCTTAACATGTGCTAAAAAGTTTAAATGGTCATACTTTGAGAAAATGGCTCTGTAGAGTTACCTTTCCACTAAAGACAGCACAAAGAACATCCATCTGGAATGACGTCCGAGATACCAAATCATTTTCTGTACAGTTAATTGGAAAACACTATTTCCCATAGTAGAGTGCATATATGATGAAAACATTAAGTTTCACAAAAGTGAGGAGATGAAAGAATACGTGTTTTACCTAGATTTAAGATACAACCCACAATCTAATATCAAATGTCATACTCATAAAAAACAGAAGAGGAAACTGAAACCCCTGGGGCAACAGAGAATGAGAAATGAAATCTTTGGAAATCTTTCTACTCCATAAAAGTAAGGAACTTTGAGACAATTGGAGAATAAAAATTTCACTTCATTTATGCTTACAGTTCATGTTATTGTTGGAAAAGTTACCAATTTCCTATTTGCAATAAAGATAATTCCCCAGAAATGTTTTAATAATTTCTAACTGTATAACTCTACAGTTATGTACAGATATGCAAACAATTCAATAAGTCATGAAGGGTGTCTAGGAATCACTGAACAGTGGCCACAGTGGACTAGACTTCAAGCAAAGACTATGTCTGCTTGTTCTCCACTGGCTTCTAGTGCCAAGGTCAGAACCTGGATCATGGTGGACATTCAAAAACATCTTTAAATAAAAGAAAAAATGAGTGAGAACAAATGCTTCTTTATAAAGACATTTGTATGAAAAATTTTAAATAAACTCATGAAATATTTCTATGAATCTGAGTATTTATGGAAACAATTCCTACACTGTAATATAATATCTAAAAAAAAGCATACAAATATCTAAAATTTAAAATTACACTGAATTATTATGGAATGGTATTCAATATTTCACCAGTATCATGCTAGCTGGAGGGGCAGATAGCTCACTGCACGGTGGGACAGGAAGAAGGGTCACTGAATCAGAAGTGACTCAATGGCAATTGGTTTGTATGTTTTGGCTTTGAGCATTTCTATTATATTTTCTTAGTTATATGTAATATATCAACAGTGTAACTAAGATAAAATTTAATGTGTGGAGTTAATAATATATGTGATAACTTTACAAATAAAAGATACCAATAATAAAAAATATTGTTTTTTAAGTCCACACTTATATAACATGATGAGTACTAATTCTAAGTTAGCCCCTTCATTATTTTGGCTTTAATTAGCTCATTTGAGTTATCAATGTAAGCTAGATGCATTTTAAAGGGGAGAGATTGGCTCACCTGGTTTGTAGTCATATACAAATATTGATGAAAAGGGCATATAAATAATAATTATTTTCCAACTTATTTATGAAATGAAAGCATCTATTTTTTCCTAATAAGTTACTTTGTCATTCATAGAACATTAGCTTGTCACTGAATATCTAATGCCATTGAAATTAGAGATGTTGTCTAGAAAACCATTAGCTATTTTTTACACAATTTGACGTTGGCAGGATTCTTAGCAAGAAGGAAAGTGTGACCATGTAATAGTTGAGAGGCACAAATTGAAGCATGGCAGCAGAAGGTATTGCCTTTCAAAATTCAGTACCAATTTTAAATCTGCAATAGTCATCTAAGAACATTATTTTAGAAGTGGAGTTTCCCGTGAATTACTGAATAAATCCAAGTCACATTGATCCTTTTTTTAGACACAGTTCACTGACTTTAATTATGTTTCATGTTTCCAAGAAAAACCTTGGTAATTACCAATTAGATTAAGGATTCTGTAGCAAGGAAAGTCCTACTCAACACTAAGATCTCACATATACTGTTTTTAGATTTTGAATCTAACTGAGCTTCAGTCTTGTTCCATAAAAACATAGGTTGCATTTTTATAATTACAACCTGATGGCATTGTCTGCAATGCAATCAATTAAAGTATTTTTGTTATTGATATGTTGTTATTATAAGTGACCCAAATATGAAAGCATACAGTGTTGTTTTATTTATTTTTTTTTTCTTTCTCCAGATGGCACATTGCACAGAGTACCATTTTTGGTTCAAATGAAAGAGTAAGGTCCAAAGGAATTATGGAGGGCTAAACTGAATAATCCTCCATAATTCCTTTAGAGGGCTAAACAGAATAATGGGAGTCCTGGTGTGGTGCTGTGGGTTAATGCACCAGACTGCAAAGCCTTTTGAACTGCAAGGTCAGTAGTTCAAGCTCACCTGCTGCTCCTTGGAAACCCTATACAGGGTCATTATGGGTCAGAACCGACTCGATGGCACTTAACAACAGCAAACAGAATGATTACTCAAAGTATACATATACCCAAGGCTGCTTAGGCTAACATACTTAACTCTACGCTTTGTATCAGGAAAGACAGCAGGGAAATAGAGTTAATATTGGGTTTTGTTGGTGGTGGTGATAAGTGTTGTCGAGTCAGTTCCAACTCGTAATGACTGTATCTAGGTTTCCCGAGGAGTGGCTGGTAGGTTTGAATGACCAACCTATTCACAACTAAAACATTTACTGGGTAACACTGCATAGTACTTAATTTTCTAATATTTAATGGGTTTTTGAGTTTGTTGTTTTAATATGTAAAATGGAATAATAAAATATCATGTTTACTGTGAGGATTAAATAATATCATGAATGTAAATGAAATTCAATGATTAGCCATATTACAATACTTCCTTTATAGACATATACTCATTGTTAGTAAATGTATGCTATAGAAAAAACAAAATAACAAAACCCATTGTCACAGAGTCAATTCTGACTCCTATGTGTTCCAGAATAGAGCACTATAGGGCTTTCCTTTATGAAATCTTTATGGAAAAAGATCACCAGGGCTTTCTTCTGTGGCATTGTGTGTGGGTTGAAATCACCAACATTTAGGTAAATAGTCAAGTGCAAACCATTTCTGCCACACAGAGACTTTTTTCAGGAAAAAAGGAGTACTTATTCCCTGGTAATAAACCCTGTACAGGGTTTCCGAGGCTGTAAATCTTTACAGGAACAGAAAGCCTTATCTTTCTCCTGTGGAACAGCTGAGGCTATACATTTCCTAAAATATTCTCTTGCTTTTATAATTATTAATGCTTTTAAATATCATTATTTAAGGGACATTTTTTAAAGACCTGCCTCTTAAATGAGTTTAAATGGCTACTTGACAATTCAGATTTGAACAAAGATTAGAGAAGGCACAAAAGGAACGTTATTGCCTTCGAAGTTGATTATGCTATGTTATCACTCATTCCCTCATACCAGGAGGTGTAAAGGTGTTGTAGTAGGACCTTTGGCAGAGATCTTCTCCCAGAGGCCTCGTCGGAGGTAATGGACCGTTGTTCCTGCTAAGTTGAATGCTCCCGAGTGTTCAATCTTCCAGTCACTGTTAATAGACTGTTTGCCAGCATCTCGGAGTGCTATAAAGAAAGGTTCAAGAATATTATGATTATAAACAAGTCAGTATCATTGGTCAACATCCAGTTTACATATTTTGTTAAAACCATTCCATTAACTTCAAAATGAATGGAATGATAACCTAAAACAGACAACATCTCTTTTTAGGTCATGTCCTTATTAATTCCTGCAATTATATCAAGGGAAATATCACAGACTCTCCTTTTCCTTTTCCCCTCAAAACTCTGCCATCATCTTTATCTTTCCCTATTCTAGCCTTCTGTATCCTTTATTTTAGCATTTATTTAAAGAATTATTCATTCTTTGCACATTATCATTTTAAGGCTGTGTGTGACTGACTCATCTACCCTGTGGTTTTATAAACAATGTCTGAACTGACACTACTATATCTTATACATATTCTATAACTTATATGCTATCCAGAAAATTCTATGATTAAAAGAAGGGTCATTAAATAGCATGTTAACTAACAATTTTGTTTTTGTTTTGCTATATTTCAACACATCTTCAGGGCATAATTATAGAAAAATAACTTTTAAATTTTCTAACAAAAATGCATTTTAAAAAACCCTCAGACTTCCAGTTTGGGGGTGGGATAAGCAGGAACAGATAGGGAAGGTTTCTCGGCAGAGGTGCCAAAAAAACCAGAGAAGGCACTTTTCTGGAGCAGCTCCAGAGCTTGGGATCCAATATAACTGGGGAACATCAGTTTCCGGTGCCCACAGGTAGAGAAATCTGACTATGGATGGAATGCATGGTGAATCGATCGAGACTCTGCCTGAGGGCCCCTAGGTCTGGGCTAAGATCAGAGGGTGGAGCCACAGCCAAGCTGATATAGTGGTGTTGTTGTTAAGTGCTGTTAAGTTAATTCCGACCCATAGCGACCCTGTATAGGGTTTCCGAGGATCAGCTGGTGAGCTTGAACCACTGACCTTGCAGTTCAATGACTTTATAATCTGGCACATTTACCCACAGCTCCACATCAGGACAGTGCTAAAAACCATGGAGCAGCATCTGTAAAATGAGGTGTGACAGATTTTTCACTTTTCTTTCCTCGTTTCCCCTGTTGCACCCTCTCTGCTTAGCCCAGACACCTTCGGGTCGGTAGGAGTTCACCCCCAAAAGGATCCAGTGTTATGCTCACAGTTTTCCCATGGAACAGGGAAGAAATCCCTAGGAGCCCCGTTCGTCCCACAAGCTAATCCTTTGATTGCTTCTTATGACATCTGACTCTGGGACTCAGCCCTAAAGTTGACCTGGGCAGGACTCTTTATTCCTGCTTTAACTGAACAAGAGACAGCAGGTCTGGTCATACAGCCAAACCATATGTGCACCTTGTAAAACCCCCAACATAAAAGGCAGTAGCTAACACCAACTACTATATATAAGAATGCAGCTATTTTGAGAATTACGCAGTGCATATGCAGATACTTAACTGACCTTCAGAGATAAAAATACTGGAAATTTTATCATTCATTTCTCAGTCTGTATCTGTGCACCTTCATGGTGGTAATTAGAGGAGAGGACTGAGCAAGTGGACACCCCCACCTACCACTGGAGGTTTCTACTGTGCACACACACTGACCTGAACAGTAAAGGCTCCTGGAGAGTTGGCTACAGTTTTGTTTTTGTTTTCAGTGGTAGTTTTTGTCTCTGCTTTTACATTGTTTCTGTTTTGGTTCCTTTTGGTCTCACTTTTTTCCTGGGAGTGGGAGATTTCTCTCCCTACATTTCCCAAGGAGACAGAAATCATGGCCTATAGCCAAGCTACAAGCATACTACATAATATCCCACCATCTGGACAGAAGCCAATACCAGCTGCTAGGCATTACATGTGAAAAAGGAAGCCTATCTCCAGATCATATCCACCAGGAGACACTCAGTAAGCTTAACAACATAGCAGGATACATTCATTTAATCACTGAAAATGCATCTAACTGTTGGAAATGCCCAAGAAAAAAACAACAAAAGATCTCAGGACATGTCCAAAACCAGAAAAGAATAACTATGACAAATGAGCTGGAGGCACACATAGACTTCCCATTAAAGAAGAGCAAGCATTGAATCTACCTGACAAGGAATTCAGAAGAAAGGAATGGAGACAAATCTAAATGCTCCAGATGGGTGGAGGAAAATAAGGAAGAAGTCAGCAAAGTGCTACAGGAGCAATCAAACAAGCTAGATATAACATTGGAAACAATTAAAAACCTATGAAAAGAAGTCCAGATGATTAATTAAAAAAGAAAAATCAGAAATGGACAATACACGGAGAGGGAAAAGGAATTGAACAGATGGAAGCCAGAATCAATGATCTGGAAGACAAATTTCTCAATACTGCTAAGACAGAAGAGGAAGCAGAAAAAAAGATTTTAAAAATTTAAAGAGAGTCTAAGATTCATGCTGGGCATCACGAAGAGGAATAACTTAAGAATTATTGGCATTCTGGAACAGGAAGAACCACAGAAGTCCAGAGGAGATAGGTGAGGTACTTCTGGAAGAAAATTTCCCTAATATGCTGAAGGATGAGAAGATAAGCATTTAAGAAGCTCACTGAATGTGAGGAAGGATAGATGAAAAAATAGAGTCACCAAGATATAATCAAGCTCTCGAACATTGACGTCTCCAAAATCAAATGAGAGAATTCTAAAAGCAGCCAGGGAAAAGGGAATTCTTACTTACAAAGGCAAGCAAATTATATTAAGCTCTGACTTCTCAGTAGAAACCATGTAGGCAAGAAGGCAATGGGGAGACATATATAAAAACCTAAAAGAAAAAAAAGAGCCAACCAAGAATTGTCTACCCACTGCATGATCAGAGCGCAACCAGAAGAAGAAAGAAGAGGAAAAAGAGAATAATTTGATACAATGTGATGAACTTAACCTACACCTATGGATGCAGTAGCTCAAAAGAGGGAACAAATCCTTACCGCAAGGTTCATTCCCACCCCTCCATACACAGAGTAGACAGGGGTGGGCAACTTGGACATTGGCTACCCAAAATGGGGGGCTACAAAGGAAAGAAGTGACTAGCTTATAAGCTTTCAAGAGTGAACCTAGATTCAGAGAGTGTGAAGGAAGGAAGAATCTCCACTGAGTAGTATCCAATCTGTCTAGGCAGGGCTGATGAAATGAAATGTGGATGGGTCTCTTGTGATACAATAGTGAATAATTGTTATCAGGACTGCTTGTGAGGGTTGGAAATGTAATGGTAGAAGTTTTGTAGCAAGAAGGGGAGTGGTTAACTTTTCAGTCTAGGAGCAGAGGTCCCTGGAATCATCAAGGGTGAAGAGCTGAGAGCGGGACCCTACCCAGAGAAGCAGTGATGCATGAGATAGAGACAGAGACGATGACGTGGAGAGATGGAGCAGCTGGGGACTTTAGACACAGAGAGGGAGGGGGCTGTGTGCTGACGACTGACAGATGGTGCTGGCAGAACTGGAAAGCGATATGCAAGAGATGGAAACAAGACCTTTACCTCATTCCCTATACAAAGACCAACTCAGCATGGATTAAAGACCTAAATGTGAATCCTAAAATTATGAAAGTCATCAATGAAAAAAATAAGGACAAATGTGAGGGCTCTAATACAGGGAACACACAAATTAACAAAAAATTTTGAAAAGTAGATGAGTGGGACATATTAAAAATTAAAAACTTCTGTGCAACAAAAGACTTCACCAAAAGAGTAGAAAGGGAACCCACTGAATGGGAAAAAATCTTTTGCAACAATATATCAGACAGGGACTCATTTCTAAAATATATAGGAAACTATAACACCTTTACAAGAAAAAGACGAATAACCCAATTAAAGAATGGGCACAGAACATGAACACACACTTCACTAAGGAAGAGATCCAGGCAGCCAACAAACATATGAAGAAATATTCACAATTACAAACTATTAGAGTGATGCAAATCAAAACAACAATAATGTATCATCTCACACCAGCAATAACAGCAAAGATCAAAAAAGTAGAGGACAATAAATGTTGGCCAGGATACAGAGACTGGGACCCCCCTACGTTATTGGTGGGATTGCAAAATGGTCCAGTCACTTTGAAAGCAATATGGTGCTTCCTCAGAAGGATGGAAATACAATACGTTATGATCCAGCAATTCCACTACTTGGTATTTACCCACAAGAAATATGAGCCATAACATGAGTAGATATATGCACACCAATGTTCATAGGAGCACTATCTACAATAGCAAAAACATGGAAACAGCCTAAGTGCCTTTTAGTTGAAGAATGGATAAACAAACTGTGGTACATACACAAAATGGAATACTATGCTACCTTGAAGAACAACAAGGAAACTGCAAGCCACCACATAACATGGATGAACCTTGAAGACATTATGCTGAGTGAAATTAGTCAGTCACAAAAGGAGAAGTATTGCATAGGACCATTAGTGTAAATGAGTAAGAAAAAGAACCCATACTAAAGTGGGGAAAAATTATATATAT